TCTGCCAGTAGTGAAATTGCCACCTTGTGGGACACCTTTAGTCTGCTTGAACGTATTATTAGCAAAAAGACAAAAACTGTTACGTAAAAGATAGTCAATAAAGGTATACTAAATCGCTGGATTTGTAATATCTGTAGTTGTTCTTAATTTCTTTACCATCTGTATAGAAAACATGGTAAGAATTAGTGGCAATAAGGCAATGAACCAGCATTCTGAGCCATCGGCAAGAGTAATCGTAGCCTGTTTCTAGCATCTGTGGTGAGAAGTTTACATCACTTAACAAGATAGCATTCACTTTACATTTTTTGCTTGGCAATTCGTATGGAGGGGAGGTGTAGAAGCATCGAACACCCCTTAGGCCCGTGCCTACCTCAGCGACTGCTCGCTACTAGCTAGGAACCCCTCTACTGACCCTCTCCATTTCAAATGGTGAGAGTGAGGTGATGAGGGAGAAGTGTTGATATGGTTATGATAGCAACAAGCGAGAGGATACAGGTTGAGGGTCGTGTATAGGGCATTTCCCATCGATAGAGCAAGGCAGCCGGAGGCGGGGTCATCCCGCCTATGACGCCGTTCCGAAGATTGCAGTGTTACAGACTATACAATCAAACACTGAAAAACATAATCGACGACGTAAATAGAATGCTCAATCCAAAATGCATGTGCGAAAGGGATAATTATCACGTATGTACAGGCAGATTCTATGGATATATAATAATTGGAACTCCTGAAAACATTATACTCACGTCAGAAATTTTTTAATTGACGGATGTAAACATGGAATTCATGCTGATACAGCAAGGAGAGCAGTACTCTAGTGGATTTAAAGAACAACTAGCAGTTATATAGGTATCACAATAACAGATACAGACTTGGAAATTTTCTGCCACCTTGATAATCACCTCGATTCTGAAAAGCACATTGTTGGTCCTAGATTTATACGATTCTGGTTAAGTTGTAGTGCAAAACTGTTATAGTTGTTATAGGGATTTTGCGACTAAAGATAACAAAAGGCGAAGATAACAAAATCATCAGGTGTTTGGCGACCAGGAATGACTTTTATTTGATCATGTCCTATTTCATTGGGAACATCAATGTCGTAATATAATTATACAGTTTGGAAATGTTAATACAGGCACGTTAATTATGAGGACCATTGGTCAATCATGGAGGATTACATCAATCAAGGCGTATGACGGCAACTGTTTAGAAGCAGGCCAGATCTGTTGAAGACAATTAGTAATGGCCCGATCAATAACATAATCGATCAAATAATAATGAAGAAAATAAATCAAGAATCAAGAATTTATTGCAATGCATGCAAGTGGTATCACTTTCATTTGCAGGAAAAGGTGGATTCAGCGTGGAAGTACTACAGTGTGTCAGATGACAAGATACCGTGGGGAAAAAACAAAAACATCCACGAAACTAAGCCGGTGCGCTAAACGTCTGCTGACGCCGCTTCGATGTATTGCGACGATAACAACTGCACGTGAAATGGCGAACCCAAGCAGCATGCCTAACAACATTGGGCCTTCACCGACTCCATCCCCTACAGTAATTCATTAGTGTCCAAGTATCAGCCAGCACAAGCGTCTCATTCTCGTTCTGCTTCATAAGCGGAGCTAGTATGTCTCTTCTTTCGTCGAAAATATTTCGTCGCACAATGCCAGCTATTTGTTGCACGTCTCGTGGCGTAGGTCTACGAACCCGCCCCTCTTCAGCTCTGTTGCACATCAAGATCACGAAGAAAGCGTAGATGATAGAAACCTTTACCGTAAATGTTTATAGTTGGTAATCAGGCGGGGCGACGTCAAGAGGCATGAAACGAGCTCAATCAAGACGCTTTCTAGTCACTGGTTGTTTTGCCACTACTGCTACCATATATATTTCTTTTTTTCCTCCTTGTTACGAGTGAAACTAAACTTGAAATAAGCATCTGTTCTGATGAATTTTCTCCGGTTGCAGTGTTTCTGGTGAATCTCTTGGTACCGCAG